ACTAGATATTCTTGAAATTCTCTTAAGTTGCCACGTTTTAACTAGTATTCATGCATCGCGTCTGTAGTTTTTTGGACTGTATAATCTAAATAATTTACAGAGTTCTAAGATTGTCACCGAAGTTCTAGAAATTTCACTGAAATTCATGGGACTTCCCTGAATTTATAGGAACTAACTCTACAAGATCTTTAAACTAACCTGAATGAGTACTATCCAAAAAAAATTCGGAGCTTCGTTGAAGCTATTTTAACTACCATAACGATCTGGACTTTATCTCTTCTTTCTTAAAAATTTCTAAACTTCCCCAAACATCTCTGCACTCTTCTTAAGTTTTTGGAAATTGCCTAAAGGCCCGGAAATCAAGTTCCAACTAATGGAACTGCCTTGAATGTCTTTGGCCTTTGCTGAAGTCTTGCGTTTTTCTTATGTTTACCAAATTTCTCTGAAGATAACAGAATTTTTCTTAAACTGTTACCTGCATACCCTTGATGCTCTTGGAACTTTTCTAAAGTTTTCTTAAATTTGTTCAGGTGCTCAGAACTACTTAAAAGTTCTTACAATTTACTGGAAGTTAATGGAACTGCCTGGTGGATTGTTGATGCTCCCTTATGTTCTTGGAGCTTTCCTGAAGTTCTCGAAATTATCGCAGCCCAGAAATTAAAGAAAGTGTCTTAAAAATCGAAAAACTCACCTTTAGTTCTCCGATCTTCTATTAAAATCCTGATAAATTTCTGAAGTTTTCTTAATTCACAACTCACCCATATCAGTGTTCACTCGGCTGTCGACAAAAGCAGGCCACTCTCGATGTGTGCTACGCGATCGTCTGTTTTCTCGGCAGCAACCATTGTGTGGTCCTCCTCATTGTTCTTCATCAGCAGTTCTTTCGGTCGATGCGTCGTCGATTTTGGAAAGCAACCGTTTCGTGATGAGTGTGTGAGTGCTGACCACGTTTTGCGTCCATTGTTGCAATGGACGCGCTCTGACCCTCGTTGGCGTACAACAATTTGCCATACAATGAAACTACTGGAAGCGGCTCCAGTTCTGATGGAGGAGGCTTTTTGGATAGCGGAAGATAAAGTGTTTATTGTGTTGTACCTTTTGACTATAGTTTTAAGATGTATTGTAAAGTGACCAAGAATCCTCGGCTCTGTAAAGTTAATTCGGTTGAGCCTTATCAAATAAATTAATAAACAACAAACTCACCCATACGGGTCTTCCCCAATTTTCTTTAGTTATCGGAACTGCCCTGAAGTTATCGGAACTGCTTTGAAGATTTGTAAGCTTCCTGAAGCTATTGAAACGTTTTTTGTATTGAAATGTTCCCACAATTCCTCAAGTTCTTTGAACTTCTGTAAAGATTTCTGGACTTCCTTTAAATTCTCCAGATTCCTGCATCTTCTCTGGAGTTAATGAAACTACTTTGATTTTTTTCGAAACTTCTCTGAAGTTACTGAAATGTAGCAGAAGTTTTCTGATCTTTCCCAATGCTCCAGTAGTCTGTTGATGAAACTTCTCTAAAATTATTACTAACCTTACCAATCAGATTAAGGCCTTGATGTCCTCTGCTGTCCGAAGAAGTCGTCTCCACTCTACTCGATCCATGGCCACACTTCGCCAGCCTCGTAGTCTGCGAAGGGTCCGCAGGTCGCCTTCTACTTGGTCGATCCACCTTGCCCGCCGCGTGCATCTTCTTCTTGTTCCTGTTGGGTTGCTTTCTAGAACCATTTTCACTGGGTCGTCCTGCGGCATTCTTACGACGTGCCCAGCCCACCGTAGTCGCCCAATTTTTGCAATGTGGACGATGGATGGTTCTCCCAGCAGCTGGTGCAATTCGTGGTTCATTCGCCTCCTCCACGTTCCGTCATCCATCTGCACTCCACCGTAGATGGTACGCAACACCTTCGTTCGAAAAAACCAAGGGCGCGTTGATCCTCCACGAGCATAGTACAGATCTCGTGGCCGTAGAACACCACCGGTCTAATCAGCGTCTTGTATACAGTCAACTTCGTGCCGCGGCGAATTTAATTCGATCGGAACGTCCTCCGGAGTCCAAAGTAGGCACGATTCCCTGCAATAATGCGTCTTTGAATTTCTCTGCTAGAATCATTTTCGGTGGTCACCAGTGATCCCAAATACACGAACTCATCGACCACCTCGGTTTCGTCACCGTCAGTCTGACCTCGGAGTGGGAAGCTAACATAGCCTACCTTAGAACCTCTTCCTTTGTCTTCGATGCGATGATGGCAAGTCTAATCCGCCTAGCTTAAGCCTTCAATCTGATGTACGTTTTCGCCATCTTCTCAAAGCTCCGTGTCATGATGTCGATGTCATCGGCGAAGCCAAGAAGCTGGATGGACTTCCTGAAGATCGTCCCAGCTCTCCTGATCACCCCTTCTAACGCGATGTTGAATAGCAGACACGAAAGTCCATCACCTTGCCGTAGCCCCCTTCGAGATTCAATGGGACTCGAGAGTGTCCCCGATACTCGAACAACGCACATGACTCAATGCATACTCGTGCATAATCTGAAATTCGGGGGGGAGGGGATAAATTTCAATCCTCGTAACCTCAATTAGGTTCTAACAATTACCGTAAAGGTAATGAGACTGCTCTGAAGTTCTACAAGATTTCCTGAAGTTTTTGGAACATTGCGTAAGTGTTCATAATTCTAATGATGATGTTCTTGAAACTACTGTAAAATGAACAGAATTGTAATGAAGATCCCTGAAGTTCCGTGTATTCCTTGGAACTTTTGCGATGTTTCCGAAATTTTTAGAAATTTTCTGAACTTTCCTTGACTTCATTAGGCTTTGCTGCAATTTTCGAAACATTTTGAAGATTTCCAATATTTTCCTAAAATTAGTTAGTTTTGAAAATTTCTTTGAACATTTTTCTGAAGATCTATGATCTTCTCTTTTTGAATTTCTGTAAATTTCTTTTAATTTCTGTAAATTTCCTTTAATTTCTGTAAAATCTTCTGAAGATTTGTAGTTCTGTTCTCAAGATCTACGAACAACCCTGAAGCTCAACAAATTTCCCAGTAAATAGATCTCCAAATCTATCTGAAGCTCCAAACAATTCTTAGTAGGCTCTCAGACCTGCTGTCTGGCATGCTTATTCATTCTTATTCAAACACACTGGAAAAAAATCCGTCAAATGATACACTTTGAATAGTGAAATCGGTTTACCTTGTTCCTGGATGTCATCAAAACACAAATCAAATCCTTGAAATTTTAGAAGAAAAAAATCAATATTTTCATTTCACTTGCGGCTATTTTGCTGATTGAGTCGAATGAAAACTAACCCCGAACCTATTGATGAATTTACGCGAAACTGCACCAGTGCATGCGACACCTAGGTTTGAAATCCAAAATCATTATCCATTGTCATTTTCACATCATTTCCATCTGCCAGTCGACCGTAACGTAAATTCATCAATAACGTTCGACAAATCAAACGTCAAATCTAATCATCATGTTGAAAAAGTGTGAACGCATCCGAACATTTCATCTGACAAAATTTTCGAGCAGTCCGCTCGAATCAGACCAACGAATCAGATAGTCTAAGCGTACCTTTCGATAATAGAACCACAGAGCCAAAAACACTGGCTTCAAGCAAAATGTTTGTGGATGACGTTTCTGCCACCGGAGTGGTTGTCCTCTGCTGTCCGAAGAAGTCGTCTCCACTCTACTCAATCCATGGCCACACTTCGCCAGCCTCGTAGTCTGCGAAGGGTCCGCAGGTCGTCTTCTACTTGGTCGATACACCTTGCCCGCTGTGCGCCTCTACTTCTTGTTCCTGTTGGGTCGCTTTCTAGAACAATTTTCACTGGGTCGTCGTGCGGCATTCTTACGACGTGCCCAGCCCACCGTAGTCGCCCAATTTTTGAAATGTGGACGATGGATGGTTCTCCCAGCAGCTGGTGCAATTCGTGGTTCATTCGCC